TGAGGTTAATTGGTGATTGTAAATTGTCCGTAGGTGTGAATGTGAGTGTGCTTGGTTGTCTGTCTCTAAGTGTAGCCCTGTGATAGACTGGTTACCTGTCCAGGTGAACCTGCCTTCACCCTGAGTCAGCTGGGATAGACTCCGCCCCCCATGACCCTGGCGAGGATTAAGCGGTGTGTAGATAGCGGATGGATGGACTTGATACATGTTTATATTTTATATACTCACCTATATTTACCTATAGTTACACTGATTGTTATATTGTTGTTATTGTTATTATTCATACCGTTGTTATTACTTTATCACACCATGCTGCTGTTCTTCCTAATAATTTGTTTCCTGTATTTTAATGTACGTGTACGATTGTCTCTGCCGGTGGTCTGCTTCTAGAACAACAAATTCGCTGAGAGACCCTACCAAAGGGATCAATAAAGTTCTGTCTAATCTAATGTAATCTAATGTAATCTAATGTAATCTAATCTAATGTACTGATTTACTACTAATTCACTGATTTGTTGCGTAACCGCTGATTACTGATTTAGGAATCAATCAGGACTTACCGATGAATCACCAATTTACTGATTAATCAATGCTTCACTGTAATCACTATTTTTTTGGCTAATCATTTATTGATTAGTCGCAGATTTACTGATTATTCACTGATTCACTGACTAATCAGGTGACGGCGGCGCAGCGAAAGACGCCGGAAGCGGGACAAACGAGCTGGCATCAGAGCTAGGCTATCCGCATAAACCAACGGTTCCTAGCGCTCTTCTTGCCAACGTCTGTTCTTTTGTCAATATGGAAGCTCTCTCAGGACCCTGATACTGACATCCACATGTCCTTTGTGCTGTCGTACATCAGCTTCTGCGTGGACAACATAATAAAAAAAGGAACAGATGAAAATATTCCCCAACCACAAACCATGGTTTAACTCCAACATCAGAGCGCTACTGCCGGCCAGGGATTCAGCGCTGAGGTCAAAGAACAGGGAGGTCTTCAGGAGAGCTGGAGCAGATCTGAACAGAGACACCAATGCCGCCAAAGTACAGAAAGCAGATAGAGGCCAATTTCAAAGATAATAACTTCTGCTCCATGTGAAAGGCATCCAGAACATTATGCCTACAGACAACACCACAACACCCCCTCCACCACCAGCACTGCTCTTCCAGGCTACCTTCACGCCTTTTTCTCCTGCTTTGAAGGGGACAGCAGACCGCCAGAATGGAATAGAATAGAATAGAATGGAATAGAATAGAATAGAACCAGAGCATGACCAGCCCCCCACCCTCCAACAACACCAGGTACTGTGAGTCCTGCATAGCACGACACCAGTGAAGCACCAGGACCCAATGGAGTACCAAGGAGGGTGCTGAAATCATGTGCCCATCATCTTTCTGCAGTATTCACCAACATCTTTAACCGTTTGCTGCAGCAAACCACGGTCCCCACCTGCCTGAAAACTGCCACCGTAATCCCTGTGACCAAATCATCTGCCATCACAGGGTTGAGTGATTACTGGTGATCATGACATGTATGGCGTGTTACAGCACGCCAAGGCCTATATTCCACCAGGATTTGACCAACATCAGTTCGGTCAAACAGATGACGCCCCACATACCACTCTGAGCCACACTGAAAGCCCCGACACATACGTCAGGATGCTGTTTGTTGACTTCAGCTCTGCATTTAACTCCATCAGCCCCAGCTGACTGATCAACAAACTGCAAACACTGCAACTTGGAACCTCCCTCTGTCTGTGGATCAAAGACTTTCTGACCAACAGACCCAGCATGTCAGAATGGCCACCTCCACATCCTCCACCATCGTCCTCAACACTGGTGTTCCTCAGGGCTGTGTCCTGAGTCCAAACCTTTACACACTGTACACCCATGATTGTGTTGCCACCCACAGCTCCATCACCCTTAACAGCGGACGACACAACCATCGTGGGGTTGATCAGCAACAACAACGAGGCACCTTACAGGGAGGAGGTCCAAGCCCTGGCAGCCTGGTGCTGCGACAACCACCACGAAGACAAAAGAAGTCATCATTGACTTTCAGAAGTCGAGGACCACATTCCTGAGTGTCACTGGGGAAGAAGTGGAGCGGGGCACAAACATTTCTTGAACTGCACATCTCAGAGGATCTGGGCTGGACTGTGAACACCACCCACATTGTCAAAAAGGCCCAGCAGCGTCTCTTGTTTCTCATAAGGCTGAGGAGGAACAAACTCCCTCCTGTCCTGTGGATGTGCAGTGTGGTACGGCAGCTGCACGGCATCGGAGAGGAAACAATTTCAGCAGCTCAGTGGATCAGGGTAAATGGACTGCACTTTAGAGCGCTTTTCTACCTTAGCGGCACTCAAAGCGCTTTACAATGTGTTTCTCATTCACCCATTCATACACCAGTGGTGACAGAGCTGCCATACAAGGTGCTGCCTGCCATTGGCAGCAACTTCGGGTTCAATGTCTTGCCCAAGGACACTTCGACTGTGGAGAGGCGGGGGATCGAACCGCCAACCTTACGATCAAAGGACAACCGCTCCACCGCCTGAGCCACAGCCATCATTGGCTCCCCACTCCCACACCTCGAGGAGATCTACTTGAGTCATCTCCTCCGATAGGCCACAAAGATCAGGAATGACCCTGTCCACCCTGGACACTCTCTAGTTACCACCCTCCCCTCTGGCAGACTTAAGCCACGTGTCCAGAGGGGTGGAATGAGTCCTGAGGCGTGCACTAACAGGCCACTAGGTGTTCACATGACAGCGGCTCTCCCATTCGCCAGACACTAGTCCTGTAGAAGCAGTGAACCAACATGGCGGCTTGGCCGCAGACTTTCTCTTTTATTACAAAAACTGTTCAGCGAAAAGTATTTCTGAAAACATTTGACGGGAGAAACAGACAATGCAGCTGCTGAATCTGTCCTCATTTTAGTTCAACAGCGGCTAGTTGAGCTGTTTTACGAAAGTCTCACGACGCGTCGGATCTCCACTCTCCATGCCTCATTTGCATAAAGTAGAAGTCAAGTCTACTTTATGCAAATGAGAGCGCAGGCGACGCTACATCTTGTCGCTGGAAACACCTCGTGATGCTTCAGAACAGAACGCAGAGCGTTGAATGAATGGGAAGTGGGACTTTGCCAGATCAAGTGGACGCATAGCGTCAGAGTCATGAGAACCGTACCAACAGACTAAAACACAGCTCCCCCCTGTGGCTGCTGCTGGACTCTCAGTTTACGGGTCATTCTCACAGATGCTCTTTTGCACTTGGAGTATTTATTTTATATTTTATTGCCATTTTATTATTTATGTTACCTTTTAACTATTTTTCTTAGACTGTGACCATATTAGCTGCTGCAAGGATGATGCCAACTCAAATTTCGTTCTTCTGATCACTGATTTACTGATTTAGAACGTAATCAGTGATTTCCTGATTACAGACGGACTCTCACCAAAGTTGGGGCAGCTGTCGACGATGAAGCCGGACACGTTGTTGACCAGCTCAAACTTTTGGCGGTCGTCGCTCTCTCTCAGGTCGTATGAAGCTCCGCCCCCTGAACAGCGGAGGTCCCAGTTGCTGTGGTTTCCATACTTCAGCGACACTTTGTCGAACGGAGGCACAGCGTGGAGGTACTCGCCGGAGCTGTGGCCTCGCAGCCTATTGTCAGTCTGCAGGACAGAATACAGAATGAAAACACAATACTGTGCAGTGAAACTGTGACTTACAGAACTGAGAACTCACGTCTTCCCTCCAGCCGGTGCGGTAGTACCAGGTGTAGGGCGTCTTGTTGAAGATGGTGTGGGCGTTCCCCATGACTCCGGATACACAGGAAACAGCAGCTGTCGGGTGAAGTCATTCATCATGACGATAGAAAAAGAACTGCCATATTTAGTTTTTCTGTTGTTTATATCCAGCAGATGAGCCGAATGCATTTAAGGATAATTCCAAAGGTGAGCTGATGGAGTAACAGGTGGCTTTGAATTCACTGGAAAAGTCTGAACAGAAGTCACAACATTTTTCTGACGCGTCACTGGTTTTATTTTTTGTGGTTTTTCAGTTTGGCAGCAGTGACTGTAATTGAACTACAGTTACTCAAACTGTAGTAGTTCATTAAACTACAGCTTCTGAAACTGGATGAAGGCATTTAACTGCAGTAACTAAACCTGTATTCACTGATCTGACTGCAGTAACTAAACCTGTATTCACTGATCTGACTGCAGTAACTAAACCTGTATT